CATTAAGGCAGTGACACTAACTATAGTCAAGTACTAACATCTTCCCTTCACCCTATACTTTTAATTCCTAAAATAGTTTTTCCTTAACCAATGCATTTCACACTTACAATGATACTTCGGGCGGAAAGGTATATGTTCGCCAGCCATGCCTTTTGCTCGGTGTGTGTGTGCCCTGTATTGTTTCCGAAGCACTTATCCCCCCAGAAGAAGAACTCCGCCTCTGAGGGTAAGCAATGTCGGAAACACACAGGACAACGTTACGTGCTCTTCACTGACGAGCCATGGAAAAGCCATCCTTGGTTAACAGCATGTAGAGAGAGGCGTTTCCTGGCTCCTTAGAGGAAACAGCCACATGAGTCCACACAGCGCTGTGCCTGGCGGAACAGGTGGGAAATCGCTCAGGTTCTGGACCTCCGATGAGCTGGGTGTGGCCCCGCCCTGTCTCCTGCAGCCTGCTGTGCCACCCTTGGGAGCTATGACTTCTTCCCCTGGGCAGGAAGGCTGCCCCCAAGGACAACTTCCCAGGGCCCAGGTCCTGGGTCCCCTGCTTCACCCAGCCACCCCAGAGGGAGCTGGTGTCCCACCCTCAATGCCAGGGCTCAGCAGCCTGGCCGTGTCCCCTCTGCAGGGCTGTTGGAACAGAGAACCGAGGTGCTGTGCAGGGAGGGGCTGCCGTGCCCAGCCTCCCGCTGGGGAAAAGGCAGTTTGGACAGCCTCTGCCTTCTCCACTCGCTCCCCTACTCCACCCCCAAAGGCCACTGTCACCTCCCCTGAGTCTGCTGCACTGTCTGCATTTCAACAAATATGTCTTCAAAGAAGTGAGAAAGTTTCGGATAATGAGGCACAGAAAGGAAGCTCATGATGGGTGGAGCTGAAGGGCGAGCAGGGCGCAGCGGGAGCCTGCCCTGTGCTATTAGATGTGCCCTTAGCGGTGGTCATTCCCGCCGGAAGGGCTCTGGCTCCCCCACATCACCCAGATGAGCAGCGCCGGCCTCCTGCTGACATCAGAGGTGGGAGACGCACAGGGCAGTTTTCAGCGCCTCCTTTGCTGTGGCTTTTCCAGTCTTTTAATAAAAAGAACGATGCGCCCTGGCCGGTTTGGCTCAGCGGTTAGAGTGTCGGCCTGCAGTCCAGAGAGACCCGGGTTCGGTTCCCGCTAAGGGCACGTACTCGGTTGCAGTTTGTCCCCGGCCCTGGTCGGTCGTGCGGGTGGCAGCCACTCGATGTGTCCCTTCACATCGATGTTTCTCTCTCTCTCTGTTCTTCTCCCTCCCTCCCACTCTACCTGAACAAAAAATGGAAAAATGTCCTCAGGTGAGGATAAAAAAAAAAAAAAAGAACGATGCCTTTTGGTCAGGCAACAGCAGGGGGCAGTGGTGGCACCAAGCAGGGGCTAGGGCAGCTTCTAGGAGCAAGAAGTGGTTTGGGGATCGCAGATCAACCAACCGTGAGAAAGGACTAGTCCCCTTATCGGTCAACCCACAGATGTAGTCAGGCAGAGGCAGATGGCTTTGCTGGGCTTCCCTGATGTGATCCGTTTATCCCCCTAGAGGAACAAGCCTTTAAAAGCCGCCTGGCCCCTGCGATCCAGGCCCCCCCGGACGAGCGCTATCTCCGCCCACCAGCTGCTGAGGACAGCAAAGGCCACGGAGCTCTGCGGGGCCCTATCTCTGCGCCCAGTTCTCGGCAAATTAAATTGGAGAAAAGTATCGATACATATTCCTGGGATGGGCTCAATAGAGAATTATTAAATAAGTTACTTAATTTTGCTTGAAGCCTGTCATTCTGCAAAAGTACCCTAAGTGAATTCATCCACCTCTTGGGAGAATCGGACGATTAAAAGAATCCACTAACATTCCGTTTTTCTCTTTTTGGCCAAGAAAGTTAAGAAAATATAAAGCCGCTAATGGAAATGAGAATTTTAGGCTGGCTCACCTTCCAAGTTTCTCCTGAAAACTGAGACCTGGATGGGATTACACCCTCCGACCCCAACAGGTCTGCCGACCACACATCGAGCCGGCGGCAGTAACCAGCCGTCCACACCGATGTGGACACATCTTCCTGGACACAGGGACCACGAGGGTCAGTGGCTCTGCACACTCTCGCCCTAACTGCCCCCCGTTCTGTCACTTCCCCGTCCGGTTCTACTCTGCATGCTGAGAAAGTGCCTCAGAGGTCAGTGTGCAGATGTGTCTGCGGACGCATTCTCTACAGTTACCTGTTATTCCAACACACCCTCTGGGCTCCGACAGTTTTCCTGCTTTTTCTGTGATCTCGTGGACGGAGGAAATGGATTGGTTGCTGCTCTTTTTCCTAACTGCGGCTGATTAAATGCCCAGTTGATCTATGTTGCATTATGTTCCCCAAAGGGCACCCGGTGTGATGCTGCTTAGTTTTCATCGTGGATCTGAGCCATCGGGAGGAAGTCCTCGCTCACCATGCCCACGTCGCTCGTGGTTTGCCTAAAAACGGGCGCCTGGCGTCGGAGCTTCTGGACTGACCTCGGGGGTTCCACTGGGCATCACTCTGCTACACTGTGTTTCATAGTTCGCACTCAGTACAGAATTTCTCTCATTTGTTCTAGTAGCACCTGTTTTTAAGCAGACGCTTTGGTTGTAATAACGCTATTTTGTGTGTGGTTACATTTCTCAGCTCCCCAGTGCTTCCCCGTGCACTATTTCATTTGGGTCCTGACCACAGGTGGGAATGCTTATTATACACATTTCACAGCCATAAAAACAGAGCATGGAGGGGTACAGTGACTTCCCTCGGGGCCACAGAGATAGTTAATAGCGAAGCTGGTGCCAAGCTGTGCGCAGTCAGCGCCGGGCCTTAGACACTGCTACGCCGGGCCATGCCCTGCGAGAATCTGCATTTTGATAAATAAATGCAATTTGGAGCTAGTAATTTGGCAACAAAGAATAACTATTTGGTGCACAGAGAACTTCAGACACATTGGTGGGATAGTAAAATGTTATAAACGTTCGGGGGGTTATTAGAAAAGCACACATGTGAATGAAGACACCCTTTACCCCGAAGTGTCTGTGCTGGGACTGTTCCTCAAGGCACAGAATGAGGATGAGTGGACTTGCTCAGTGGTTTGCTGGATTGGGGGGGACAGAGTGAGGCTGTCAGTGGGAACCAAAGAGCAGGTGGCTCCATGCAGACTGATGAGAAGCAGGGACGCTGCAGCTGAGTCTGAGTGTGAGTGCCAGCTCCTACCTGCACCAGGTGTGTGGATACTGGCTCCCACCTGCACCAGGTGTGTGAACATTGATTCCCACCTGCACCAGGTATGTGACCCAGGCTCCTACCTGCACCAGGTGTGTGAATACTGGCTCCTACCTGTACCAAATGTGTGACCTAGAGCTCCCACCTGTACCAGGTATGTGACCTAGGCTCCTACCTGCACCAGGTGTGTGAATACTGGCTCCTACCTGTACCAAATGTGTGACCTAGAGCTCCCACCTGTACCAGGTATGTGACCTAGGCTCCTACCTGCACCAGGTGTGTGAATACTGGCTTCCACCTGCACCAGGTGTGTGATCACTGGCTCCCACCTGCACCAGGTGTGTGAATACTGGCTCCCACCTGTACCAGGTGTGTGAACATTGGCTTCCATCTGCACCAGGTGTGTGATCACTGGCTCCCACCTTTACCAGGTATATGAATACTGGCTCCCACCTGTACCAGGTGTGTGATCACCAACTCCCACCTGCACCAGGTATGTGACCTAGGCTCCTACCTGCACCAGGTGTACAAACTGGGGCACCTCTGTCTACACCTTGGTTTTACCATCTCTGTGATGAGGATATCGCTAACCCCTAGCTCACAGAACTGAGGGGGGGGTCCGGACGACAAGAAGATGGGGCACTTGGCGCAATGCACAGTGTATGCAGCTCTCAGCACTGGCTCCCAGATGACAGGGCTGTCACTACACTGCGAGCACAAGTCATGGGCCAGCAACAGGACTTAACTGTCATCAGTAATGATAGTAGTGGCCAGTGACAAAGGAAAATGTCCAAGAGATGATGAGTGAAAAGAGCGCATCCCCAGGGTCATCAGAGGGCGGCCCGTGCACCTCCAAAGGCGCGACAGCAGTCCCACCGGCAGACGTTCCGAGAGCGAATCACCTGGTCGCTGCCTGTGAGCTAGGAGCCAGCGAGGGGCCGATCCCAGCCCCGTTTCTTTTGTCTGTTCATGGCGGCTGTTCCCTAGCAGAACAGTATGTGGCAGTCACCAGGGAAGAGCGTTCTCACCAGTAAAGGAGACTCGGCAGCGTGTGTGTGGACGGAGAAGCAGCAGGGACCCCCTGCAAAGTGACGTCTGTGGATGAAAGGCCTGCCCACTCCCTGATGCCCTGTGCCCGGTGCGAGGCAGGTGCCAGACCCGCAGAGACACCGCCCTCTGCTGAGAACGCCAACCAGCAGACACCCCGTTCCTCTCCGAGCTTGATGGAGCAGGTCGCACAGAAGGTGGCCGCTGTCCTCAGGGCCCTGCGTGGGGCGCAGCTGATGACATGCAGACGAAGCTGCTGAGAGCTGGGTCCTGGCAGGCACCGCACAGGACTGTCATCCTCAGATCAGGGGCCCGGGATCGGAGCTCCGCAGACATGCAGCGAGGGGTCCCCACACCGCTCCCCCCTGTCCACTTTGGATTGCTGCTTACCGGGTACAAGGGCTTTTGGAAGACACGAGAGTTATCCTAGAAAATACCTGCACTTATGAAAACACTGGCAGCATCATGCCCCAGCTAAGGTGAACGGGAGGACGTTGGAAGCTCATCATCTCTACTTTCTGATTTTTGCCACATTGGTTAATGATTCGGAAAGCAACCGCTGATGCTGATGTAACACCCTCGTGAACAAGTCCTCCCGTGAAATCAGCCTCGGGACCTGCGAGGTTGGTCATATGGGCCACCGATCGACCTTCGCGTGGACACGGAGGGTCCGCACCCACACGCACACCCTGAATGTGTCAGAGAAGTGAAAGCACACTTACACGTACAGCACTGTCCTGGTGTCGCCCACTCTGCCTGAGTCTCCCACGGTCAGGGTGTCATAGCCTCGCTCCAGCTCAAACTCCTCGAAGGCCAGCTTGATGACCTACGTCGGAAGCAAGAGAGAGCGACTTAGCATCAGAGGCGCCTCCACAACGTTGGCGTGAATATCCAGGAGAGGTGTTAAATGTGCTCCTTCATTCCACTGAATTCCAGGTGGTTTCTAGCTGCATTTGAAAGTAACAATGTGGACAATTGTATACACTTGAGAGCCCTCGCTTATAGAATTTTATAGTCCTCAAAATTGCTATTACTTCACAGACATTTGTCATCGGATCTAAAAATGAAATGAACCCATCTTATGCTCTAAGTCAAATATCTATCAAATATTTATTTTAACACTTCTAGTGTTTGGAATGACAGAAAGATAACTCAATATAGTCAAAAGACATGTTGATGGTAGTTAATGAGCTATATTTCAAGGATACCTAGAACACCACGAAATGGATACTTTTAGAGGAATAGATGCATATTTCATGTAATTATTCATATTAACAAATGAAAAATGATTTCTGAGACAAGAAGGTTGTTCTCTGCATTCAAGTTTGCAAAGCACTGAAGTATTGGTCTCTGTCTGTCTATAAAGAACACTTAGTTGTGGCGGTTGGCTCGTGATGTCTAGACAGGACCCGTTTATCTCTGACACAATATATTAATATTCTGGGACCTTCTTTCTGTAGAGCACGGACCCTTTCTCCTGCAAGAGGAGATGCTTCCTTAGGGGCTGATGTCTTGATGAACAAAAAGGCAGTTGGAGGTGACATACAGGCAGACTAGAAGGGACCCAAAGAGACAGACAAGGGACAGTCATAGGTGATAGATAGATACAGACGAGAGACCAATGAAATGATAGAGACCACAGGTGGTATGGATGATAGAAGGACAGGTAAAAGAGGTGAATGACAGAGGGAGAGAGAGGGTTGGAGGGAGAGAGGAAGGGAGAGAAGCCCCCAAACCATACAATTGGAGATGCATTTAATGGGGGCCATTTCAGAGTAAGCAGGATCCCTGGAATATTACTGCCAAGGCTCAAACATCTGTTTGTGAGACTTGAAGGAAGGTTTGAGTGAGTGGACGTGGGGAGGGGGAGTGAGTGGTCCTGGGGAGGGGGAGTGAGTGGTCCTGGGGAGGGGGAGTGAGTGGACCCGGGGAGGGGGAGTGAGTGGACCCGGGGAGGGGGAGTGAGTGGTCCTGGGGAGGGGGAGTGAGTGGACATGGGGAGGGGGGGTGAGTGGACCTGGGGAGGGGGAGTGAGTGGACGTGGGGAGGGGCAGTGAGTGGTCCTGGGGAGGGGGAGTGAGTGGACATGGGGAGGGGGAGTGAGTGGACCTGGGGATGGGGAGTGAGTGGACCTGGGGAGGGGGGAGTGAGTGGACGTGGGGAGGGGGAGTGAGTGGTCCTGGGGTGGGGGAGTGAGTGGACGTGGGGAGGGGGAGTGAGTGGACCTGGGGATGGGGAGTGAGTGGTCCTGGGGTGGGGGAGTGAGTGGACGTGGGGAGGGGGAGTGAGTGGTCCTGGGGATGGGGAGTGAGTGGTCCTGGGGATGGGGAGTGAGTGGTCCTGGGGTGGGGGAGTGAGTGGACCTGGGGAGGGGGAGTGAGTGGACCTGGAGAGGGGGAGTGAGTGGACGTGGGGAGGGGGAGTGAGTGGACGTGGGGAGGGGGAGTGAGTGGACCTGGGGAGGGGGAGTGAGTGGACCTGGGGATGGGGAGTGAGTGGACCTGGGGAGGGGGAGTGAGTGGACGTGGGGAGGGGGAGTGAGTGGTCCTGGGGAGGGGGAGTGAGTGGACATGGGGAGGAGGAGCGAGTGGACCTGGGGAGGGGGAGTGAGTGGACATGGGGAGGGGGAGTGAGTGGACCTGGGGAGGGGGAGTGAGTGGACGTGGGGAGGGGGAGTGAGTGGACCTGGGGAGGCGGAGGGAGTGGACCTGGGGAGGGGGAGTGAGTGGTCCTGGGGAGGGGGAGTGAGTGGACCTGGGGAGGGGGAGGGAGTGGTCCTGGGGAGGGGGAGTGAGTGGACCTGGGGAGGGGGAGGGAGTGGACCTGGGGAGGAGGAGCGAGTGGACCTGGGGAGGGGGAGTGAGTGGACATGGGGAGGGGGAGTGAGTGGACCTGGGGAGGGGGAGTGAGTGGACCTGGGAGGGGGAGTGAGTGGACGTGTGGAGGGGGAGTGAGTGGACCTGGGGAGGGGGACGGAGTGGACCTGGGGAGGCGGAGGGAGTGGACCTGGGGAGGGGGAGAGAGTGGTCCTGGGGAGGGGGAGTGAGTGGACCTGCGGAAGGTGGGCTCTGATGAACCCCCAGTAAGGCGCCCAGCTGTGCATTGGCACTAACTAGATCCCTGCCATGCGGTGCTAAGAAGGAGTACATTCATTTTGCTATTTGTAACTGTTACTAAACTTAACGACAGAGGCAATATAATTTATTTTAAAAATCTACACTTTCAAACTGCAGTGTGTCTGCACTTTTAGCCGCGGGATCTGAGACAGGTGTCGAGATGGGTGGTGTTGCCACCAGTACACATCCACCTGTGAAGCCTGCGCTGGGCTCGGTTTTCTTTCTCGAGGGTCCCTGCCCAGCACCCTCCCATCACCACCTTCCCCGTCCTGACGGAGAAACCCGCTGGGAGCACCGATGACCCCATGGATCCGAGGGTCAGGCCTGGTCCACTTGCAGGCCTCTCAGGGAGGTCTGACCCCACAGCTGTGTTTTTATCAGCGGTGTAAAATGGACACTTTGTATTTCTTTCAAGTTCAGGCAAAGGGTGGTACATTTTTTGTCGGGATTTAGCCTGGACTATCAATAAAGGTAGACTCAGTGAAAACCTCGAGTTTGCCCGAGATCTGGCCTTGTACAGACATCAGACAGAAACACACGTTCGCCCCGAAACCGCCCCCTGTTCTCAGATCACCCCGACACAGAGGAAGGGCAACACGGACTGAGTCCATTTCCTTTGGTCCTCACCTGAGGACGTACTTGCAGATTTTAGAGAGAGAAGAAGCGGGGAGAGACAGAGAGAGACGGAGAGAGAGCAGTGTGGGGGAGAAACAGCGATTGGTTGCCTCCCACACGAACCCCGACTGGGGATCAAACCCACAACCCAGGTATGTGCTCTGATTGGGAATCAGAGCCACAGCCTGCTGGGTATGGGACGGCGCTCCAACCCACTGAGCCCCAGCCGGGGCGGTGCAGTGTGCTAACCACAGTGGCCAGGCTGTGCCTGAGACATGTCCACCCTCCGTACCTGCAGCCTGGCCCTCTGCTCATCATCGCCCCGCACGACCGCTCTGGTCTCTGCTGCCATGTATCCGGCCTCGTGGGCTCCACATGTAAGTGAGATCCGAGGCTGTTCTCCGTGTCCGGCTTATTTCCCTGGGCATGCTGTTCTCCAGAGTCCTCACGGGGTCACCATGCCAGGGCTTACTCATCGTTAAGGCTGAACAGGATTCCACTGCAAATCTATACCAGTTTCTGTCTCTGTTCATCTGTGGGTGGACAGTCAGGTTGTCCTATGACTTGGCCACTGGGAATAGTGTTGCAGCGTGTTTTCACTATGAGAGCTTCAGTGACATTTGGCCAGAATGGTTCCTTGGGTTTTTCACACCCGTGCATGTTCCTCCTTTGGTTTTTCACACGCGTGTGTGTTCTTGCCTCTGCGGACAGCTCGTCTGCGTTCTGCTAGTCTCTGCAGAACCGCTGTGTCTGGGTGGTGGCCCTGTGCCGCTGGCCAGAGGTCAGCCTCCCTGGCAACACCCTGCCCATTCCCTTCAAGACTCTCCGTCCTGGGAAAGGTGTGCTGGTTCTCTGTGCAGCCTGCCCCACCCCTCCCTGTGCGGCGCAGGCTCCGTCCCTCCCTGCCGGTCCCCTGCTGGGCGGAAAGGGAGCGGCCAAGCTCGTCTGCAAAAGCACTCAGCATCCGCAGGGGCATGTTGATAGACACAACGTAATTGTAGAATTTTCAACTTTTACCGATAAAGATTCCTTAAGGACAACAGATCCAATGGGAAGAAAACAGAAAAGGATCAAGTTCTAGAATTCAAACATTTTAAACTCACAGGGGTATTCTGATAGACACGACATAATTATAGGATTTAACACTTAGAGATAAACATTCCTTTTTTTTAAATAAAAACGTGTTTTTATTGATTTTTTTAGAGAGGTGGAAATGTCGATGTGAAAGGGAAACATGGATCGGCCTCCTCCTGCGTGCCCCCTACTGGGGATCGAGCCCAAAACCTGGGCTTGTGCCCTGACTGGGAATGAAACTGGGCCCTCTCAGTCCCTGGGGCAATACTCAATCCACTGAGCCACACCGGCTGGCAGAGATACGGACGCCTTAATTATTGTAGATAAAATTGTTCACTGTGGAGGTATAAGTGGTTCACACACTGTTTAACTACCTCATTCTTCTCTAGTTGTCCCACTAAAGGAGGAGGAGATTAAATAGAGAAAAAAATCCGGTAAAGCTGTTCGGTTCCCTTGTCTTCATTACCAGCGCAGCTCTGAGCGGGCACCGGGTACCAGGCACATCTTGTTGTCTGGAGTCAGGCTGTCTGACCTCCTAACCCGGAAACCTGTGGGGTGAACAGCAGCGGTTCCCAGGTGGCTCGCGTCTCTACAGCGCCACCTAGCAGTGGGATGGGGATGCAGTACAGGGTGTGCAAGCGGATGGAAACAGCTGAAAACAGGTGGGCGGGGCTACAAGGCGCCAGCAGCTCTGCAAGCCCCTGGCACAGCAGGAGAGATACATTGTTGCAACTTTGATGCAGACACAAACGTGAGTCTTTAACTTCGCTGTGTCAGAACAAATCTAGATGGTGTGCTGTTGGTGCGGACCCCAGGTTTGAAGTAACAGAATCTCTGAAGGGTGGCAGCAGGTGGAGACAGGATGGGGGGCTCAGGCACCAGGACTGCGGAGCCTGTTGGACCCCTGGACAAGCACACGCTTGGCCACATTGGGCCATTAAGCCTGGGAACCTGAGTGGAGGTGAGTGTCTCTGTCTCTCAGCCACTCCTAGCTGCATTTTCATCCAGAAATGAATCCTTT